GTTCCGACGGAAGAAGCCACACTGGGATGTCAAGGGAGGAGGGGAGCAAATGAGGGGGAGACGGGAAGACTGGGGAAAGATGGCAACTTAGTTCTGCTCTATTCCCCTCCCTTGGGGACAGGGAGCAGGGATTCTGGAACCAGTTTCATGAAGGCATCGATCTCCCCCAACAATGACCAGTTTCCCAACAGTTTGTATCCTACTCTGGGGGCCTGGTCCACTGACGACTCACATTTGTTAAATGGTGTGTTTGTTCTGTGATTGGTCAGGGGCGGGTGGGCTGGGAGGGAGTTCTCCATATTGCCACAAGGACACGCGTGGTTCCCCATGGCCCATACATAGCATGTGGTTCAGGGTACGACTGCTGGTGATGGAAGCGATCCTCTGTACTGCCATGTGCATACGTGTGCCTTCGTGTGGAGCCCCAGATGGGAATGTGATTCTGCCTACACCCTGTGTGTTCAAGAATGGTTCCACGGAGACCTTGGTATGTAGAGGCTCTGCGTTCAGTCCTGGAGGCAGTTTCCTGCAAGTAATTCTCCATGCCGTGGCCTTCGCGGCCACAGTTTCCTTCCGGGACTTATCTGCCATGCTCTAGTTATATCAGATCACACTTCCCTACCTCCGTGACTCGGCCTCCCATAGTCCTTCTTGAAGGCCCAGACCCGACGCACTTCATCTCCCACATCCAGATCCGACTACCACAGCTTCTAAGGCCCAGCTCCGGGGCTGCCGACTCAGAAGCTTTGCCTCCTCTAAACTCCCACTGCACTCTCTTCACTTAGTGTCTTCTGCCTTGTCCTTGACTACGAGCTTCGCCTCCCCCACTAGACTCTCGAATCTCTGAGGACAAGATCTGCATCTGACTTTCACTTGTATGTGGAATCTAAAACCCAAAAAAAATGAACACACAAAACAGGAACAAACTCAAAGATACAGAGAACTAATTGGCGGTCACCAGTTGGGAGATAGTTTGGGAGGATGGGTGAAAGTGAAAAGGATTAAGAAGTATGAATTGCCAATCATAAAAATTACTCACTAGTATAATATTCTGTGTTGACTGTAATTAAAAAATAAATTTTTTTAAAACTCTGCATCTGACCTCTCTCCTGAAACATCCAGGACTTGATAGGGTCCCTGGTACATATAGGGTAAGTGCTCAATGAAGATTTGCTGAGTAAACGAGAGAGTGGGTGAGCGAAAACCAGGGCAAGAAAGGCCACCTGCATGACAGGGAAGCCCCACCCCACCAGCCCCACCCTCCCCAAGCCTCACCTTCCACATGAGCAGCACCAGCAGCGCCAACACCAGCAGCCCAGCCAGTACAGCCAGGAGGATAACCCACCAGGGGACTCCCTCTGCCACCACAGCCACCGGGTCCAAGTATACCATCACTGGAATCTGGAGAAGCGAGGGATTAATGGAACAGGGGTGGGGCGATGGGAGAGAAGAGTTCCCCCACCCCCAACTCCCAGCTCTGCAGCTCACCACTGTTGAGGCATCTCTGAGCACCAAGTTCTTGATTGAAGACTTCACAGTGATGTTGGCACGGACAATCACTTCCAGAGACTTCACAGCTGAGTACTCCTAAAGGAGCAGGGAAGGAAACCCTCCTCCTAAGTGCCCCCTGTTCCCTCACTTCCCACGAGCTCCTGAAATTATAAATGGAATGGTGCCCAACACAGAGCGTATTTCTGCCCATCTTGGATTAAGCATGTGCTGCATTTGGACAGGCAGGAGGTTGAAGGAGAAGTGAGTCCCAGAGGGGCTACTGAAGAGGAAGACACCCAGCCCATCACCCCAGCAGTGCTCTGACCTCCAGGAAGGTGCTGTTCCAGAGGCGACCCCAGACATGCAGCACAGCCGCACGGTCAAAGCTGTAGAGTGGGCAACTGAATATTATGCAGTTGGCTGTGTTCCGGGCACAGTCCTGGGGACAAGAACAGGCAGGGCTCTGAGCTATGAAGCCTGCCCAGGGCCCAGCACCCTTATAAACATGGACACACAGACACAGAGACTGCCTGGAGAATTTATTCATACCTCCATGAGCCCCTACATCTTGGACCTCCTTTTCCCCCTTTCTCACTCATATTTCTCCCATTTTCCTTAACTGGCTTCAAACTCCCCCTCCTCCAGGAAGTCTTCCCGAACTGACTTTGTGGTCCAAAACAGTGGCCTACTCTAAATCTGGGCTATTTGGCTTTGAAATGCATGGGGAGCAAGGAGAAGGTCTCTTACTAGAAAGCAGCAGAATAGCTTCCCCAGTTCATGCTGATGTTACCCAATGTTGGTCCCATTATTGAGCACCTACTACCTGCAAACGCTTATCTCATTTAGCTTCATAATTGTCCTACAAGGTACATATTATTGCCATCCTCATTCTTCAAACTAGAAAATTAAAGTTTAAAGAGGCCAGGTGACCTGCCTCAGGTCACACAGCTAGCAAATCCAGTAAGTGGAGTAGCAGATATTTGAACCCAGGCCATATTTGGCAAAGCCACACTCCTACACTAAGCCCAAACTCATTGAAGGAGGATGAGTCTGCCCAGGGAGCTGATGGAGAGACAGGGGACTAGGGCCCCGTTCCTTCCAGGCCTGACCTAAACTCATTTGGCCCAATCTCATCTAACAGCCCATTTGCCTAAAAACTGTGTCATATTGATCACGCTTCATATACAGAAGAACCGCTTTTAGAGTGATTGAATTCTGTGAGTCATCTTTTATTTTGCCACTTT